CATGGGGGGGGTTCTGTTTGGTAGCATATGATGTCTAGTTGGAGTATTATAACTCCATTTAAACCCTTTTATATATGTATATATTTAGGAAGCTTCTATGGTAGTAGATTTCCATATGGTTTTTCAAAAGGCCTTTCGTGTTAGTCATTCCTCTCCATAGTCTCTCTTCTATCCTGCCTCCCTCCCCCTCCCCTTTCAATTCTGTTCTAATTTCCCCTTTATTGCTTTATAAAGCTACATCTCTTTTCCCTCCATAAACAGATACCATGTCCGTGTAGTGTCCTCCCCCCCATCCCCTGCCAGTCCCTTAACAGCTATATAACTTCCATGGGTATTTTAAATGGAAAACACATATCTGAAGCTTAAAAGCTAACATCTACCTATGAAAGAAAACACATGACATACATTTGTCTTTCTGGGTCTGGCTTACCTCACTCAGGATGATGGTTTCTAGCTCTATCGGATTACCTGCAAATTTCATTTTTCTTAAGCAGTTGACTAATATTACATTGTATAAATATAACATATTTTTATTATCCATTCATCAGTTGATAAACATCTAGGTTGTTTCCAATTCCTGGCTATTATGAATAGAGCAACAATGACCATGGATGAACAAGTGTCTCTGTAGTAATATGTAGAGTCCTTTGGGTATATGCCCAAGAGTGGTATAGCTGGATCATGTGATAGATCTGTGCCCAGCTTCCTGAGGAAACTTCAGTGATTTCCAAAGTGACAGTACCAGTTTGCACTTTCTTTTTGAGACAGAGACTTGTCTTGTAATCCAGTCTGGCCTCAAAGTCATGATCCTTCTGGCTCAGCTTCCTGATTGCTAAGGGTACACACACACCACTGTGCTCTTCTTAATATGTTCCTTGGTAGACTTATCTGCTAGAATAAAAAATTCTAATTCTTAACTGATACATGATGTTTACACTTAAAGTTTTTCTTTAAAAATTAAGAAATTTTATTCTTAAACAATGATGTATTTTCCTTTGGGTTCTGAGGAAAAGCATTAAAATAGCTCATTTCAGGTAATTTTGAGACTGGAAATAGAGGAAATTGTCTTTACAGAGATGTGCGGGCTGGCTGGGTTCAAGGGTGGGGGTCTGGGAGGGAGTGGCTTCTGACCCTCTGATTAGGGTAGGGCAGGCAGCTGTCATGGATGGTGAGAAGGCATGAAGATGGATGCCTGATATCTGGACCCTTTGTCTGCGACAGGGTCTCACTATATAGCCCAGCCTAGCCTTGAACTCAAGATCTTCACAAGTGCTGGGGTTCCGACATGCATATGGCTGGCAGATGCAGGCACTTTGAGACTAGAAGGCAAGAATAAGCAGGTACTGAAGACCTGCAACTTTGCATCTCGGGGAGAGCAGGCCTGCAGCTTCAGCTGCAGGACTTAGCTTCTTTGCCAGGAGAAGCACTTCAGATAAGAGTAGGGACCTGGGTTTCCTCATTTGTGATCAAACTAGCCTTTTCTTGGGTGAGTCAGTCCTGCCTGCGCCATGGCCTTCTGGGTCACCATGGTGACCTTCAGAGGCAGGCTTGCCTGATGGCCCTTGTTGTTTCCCTTGTCTACCTTGCTGGACGTAGGACCTTCAGGATTATACTATAAATAAACAAATGAACTGGAATACTGCCCAGCCCTGGAGACTGCAGCGGTTCCCAGCTCACGGCTCAGATGTTCTGGCACGTTATTAATAGCCCTTCACTCTCTCAATAGTGACCCAAAGATTCAGACAACAGATTGTAGATTTACTCTAACACTTCAGTCAGTACTGATACCTGTAGGCAACAAAATGGCTTGAGGAGACGGAGCTGGCTGGAGAGGACTTCTCCCATCTTCGTCTCCAGACTCACCTGCTCCCACTGAAGCCTGGGAAGGAGCAGGGCAGGACAGTGTTCCACTGAACATGCTGTATACGCAGCTGCCATGGGTCCCCAGGGTCCTGCCGGCACTTACAGTCACAGGAATGTCCTCTAGAGGGTGGCTTGCTTCTCCTATTGGTGACAGGAGCCATCCTCACAGAGACTTTAAAGTAAAAGAGACCCAGAGTCCTGGAAGACACCCCTGGTAAAGGGGTGCAGCACCCAGGCTGACCTCTGGGGCCTCTCTGTTGTGTAATGAGCAAGGGCAGCATGGGGTGGTTGGCACCTGAGTGTGAGGCTGTGGGCTCACAGCAGAGGGGCTTGATCACAGGGGCACAGAGGGCCAGGTGAGCTGCAGTACATCTGGGCCTGGCCTCCATCTCCCTGCTTTCTGTCATGACACCTGGGTTCCGATCTGAACATTAGATGCCATGCAAAACACCTTCAAAAAATTAAATGGCAGGGTCAGGATTGCTTCAGGCAGGACCGGTTTGCGAGCTTGGCTGTCACAATGATGGATTTGGGACAGATTAACCCTTGGGCTCAAGGGACCCACTGCTGTGGGTGGGGGTGGGGATAGGCTGACCTCTCTCCCTCTTCCTGGATGCAATTGCCTTTGTGTGGGACCCTCTGTCTCCGAAGACACACCCCTTGGACAAATGTTCTAGACCCCAGGAAAGTGAAAACAGGCCACTGCCAAGACAAACAAGGGGGCTGGAGGTAGCGCTTGCACTATGGAGTAAGTCAGGGCAGGGGCGGAAACAGGATGCTGTCTGACTTCCAGGTATTCTAAGTGTCTGCAGCTTTTATTTTTATCTTTTAAAAAAGACAGCACTGTTGTAAAGTCTTTAGAATGATAAACTAGGGCTTCACCCTTCCCCTTTGAAAGGGCCCGAGCTGGATTCTTCCAGGCTCAGAAAACCCTAGCCATGCCCCTTGACCTGCATCTGGGGAATGTGGGGGCCTTCCAGGCTGCCTTCTGACCGCCACTCTCTGAATGAACAGACCATAATGGGTCAATTCTCTCCCGTCCGCTATTTAAAACAACGGGTTCCTTCCTGTTTCCTATGCTGACTGAGGCTTCTTCTGTGTTAAAGAAAAAAAGAGAGAGAGAGAAACCCCGGAATACAGTGCCCCTCTGAGACTAAATGAGCGACACAGCTCCAGGCTGTGCCACAAAAGCCCCTGTTTTATCTGTACAGATGGCTCTCACTTGGTGTTGAGTGCCTGGCTCTGTGACATCATTTCCCAAATACTTGGCTCTTTAAACGGGAGGAAGGGGGAAAAGAACTTTCTAAGCCATGCTGGAATCTTCTAAGAAATAGAACCGCTTCTGTAGTTCTGTGTTGCATTTTTGCAGAAATCTCTGACCTGCAAATGTTCCTACCAAGAGGAAGGAGGTTAGATGCACCCCTCCCACCATACCCCGGAAATGAAGATGCCCTATACTCTGATCCCCCCCATCTAGTTTGGTGAGAGACAAAGAGAACTCTGGTTACCTACTGGGAAGGAAAAGCAGACAGGGGGAGGAATTAGTGTGGCGTTGGAGTATGGGGAAGGGGCAGGCCCAGGGGAGCCTGGCTCTTTCTCCTTCTCTCAGATTGAGTGGGAGGAAGATTGAAAGAGAAGCCGAGTTTTCTTGAGTTGTGAGTTGAGAGCAGGCAGCAGGGAACTAACTCCTGTTTTCCTGGGGACACCACCCAACTGGGCTAAGGGACACCTAGATTGTTGCTTTCCTGGCCTTGCATAACTTCGTGGCTCTTGGGGCCTTGGCTTCCTTCAGAGGCACAGCTAGCCTTGGAGTGCTTAGAACCTTCAGCCAGTCACTCACCAGCACCCTGGGCCAGTAACGGCTTGGGCTGCACAGCAGTTCCAGGCTGTGGACACTGTCACCTCCATGGGATGGACGAATAAGTGACACACCTGGGCAGGCACTCAGCCAGGGTAGCAGGCTTCAGGTGGTGTCGTATCAGGTCATGAAGAGAAAGGAAAACTTGAAGGCTGAAAAGGAAGATACCCCTTTGCAGCAGAGGGATTCTAGGAGGAAGCGTGCAGGTGTGTAGGTGGGATGGCAAAGGCGTGGCGTCTGGTGCCAGTGTGGCATACTCAAGCGCAGGTCCTAGTGCTGTGTAGACAGCTTCAGGTACAGAGAAAGAGGCTCGTGTGCTTAGCGCACGGTGTGCATGTGTGTGCGCCTGTGTTCATGCATGTGGGCGTGACCCGGGAGAAGCATGAGACAAAGCTTTAAAAGTAAGACTGGACAAGAGGGTGATGACACATATCTATATTCCCAATGCCCAAGCCATTCCAGAAAGGGTTATGAAGCAAGGCCCTGTCTCAAGAAATGTAACATTGTGTTGGAACCAGACAAGGAAAGTGTGGTTGACCAAAGGAAGCCCCAAAATAATGTTTTAAGGCCTTGAGGTGCCTAAGAGTTACTAGGAGGAAATATTATACTTGTGTTTTTGTTTATTTTGGGATGGAGTCTCAGCTGTGCAGCCTAGGCTGGGCAGCATCTTGTGACCTTCCTGCCTCTGTCTCCAGAGTGCTGGGGTAACAGGTGTCTGTCATGGTGTCTAGTACTGACTGGACATGTACTTTCAAGACTGCATCTTGCATTCTGTTTAGGGAAGAGGGGAGAAGGCCAGTCAGGAGGCAACTGCATGGATCTCAGACCGAGTGAAGAGAGGGATATGGGGAGGCTGAGCAGTCGTACTTGAGCAGTCATACTTGTGTGTGTGCATATGTGTATGTGTGTGTGTGGGATGTGTGTGTGTGGGATGTGTGTGTGTGTGTGTGTGTGTGCCAGTGTGCCGGCGCGCACGAGTGTGTGTCCCCGATGGCTGTGGGTGAGCAGGGAAAGAGGAGATGGTTTGGGGATGCAGCACTCACCCAGGTGCTGAACACAGGAACAGCAGGAAGATAGGATGAGCTCAGCTCAGGAAGCTGAGATTCTGAGATATAGCACCAGGCCTGCCCCAGGGTTCGTAGACGCAGGGACCAGTGGCTGGACCAGTAGTGTCATTGTTCCAGCCATAGGAGGTGGGAGATGGTCTGGTAGGGGTTAAGGGAAGGAGATGGGTATAATCAAAACATTGTGTGCAATTCTCAAAGAATAAACAACAGTCTAGTAGGAGAAATGAGAGAACCTTTAATTCAGCCAGAGATGAATTATTATTTGTTTTTAAAAATAGCACTATTTATTTATTGAGACTTGCTTCTTGGCTACCCCGTTGCATAGGGTTCTTGTCTAAAATTGATTGTACTTCATGAGTTAAGAATGAGGGGCAGGTTTGAGATACAGGGTGATGAGGAAGTGGGTGCAGTTGAAAACCCTCTTGGCTTCACAATTAGGCCATATTCTCTGATCAGTTTTATTAATAGCAAACGCTGTTTGGTTTTGAGAATAAAATGGATAATTGATCGAGAGGAAGGAGGGGTTTCTAAGTTTATTTAGGGTGTAGGGAAAGTGAAGCAGAGGGAAGGAAGCCACTGTATACAAATCCTTTGTATCACCACAGAGACCACAAACAGAGCCCCTGGAAGACTCCTCTGGAGAATTTCTTTTGAAAGCTGTTCCCTGCCTCAGGTCTACAAGAAGGACAGAATTGCCTGGAGTGAGGGGGCTCCCTGGGCCCCCATCCCACCACATGGATCTGCTATGTCTCACTTTCTGGAGGCTTTGCTGACTCTCATCTTCATCCAAGCTTTCAAACAATAAACACTTGTTATTCTCGTACTCACAAACTTTTTAAAGAGGAAAATAAGCCGAATGCAGGAATTATAGACCCCAATACCCCTCTACAGTGGGCTGAACAGGTAAGGAAGGAGAGGCAATGATTCATTTTTATAATCACAAGAAATTGGGATTCCAACCAATGGTTATAAATTACACCTGATACTGTCACTCCAGACTGACCCAGGCCCCAAGTTCTGATGGAATGAGGGGTACCTGGGCCTCCCTACTGTCTGGAGTTCTTCAAATCATTGTTTCCCAAAGTTGGATTTCTGTGTCTTTCTCAGAGATTATCTGCAAACCTGGTCTTTCTTTCATGTAAGCCCTGTGCCGCCCCCACCCCCAGCTAGCCCAGATAATGGTTGGGGCGGTCCCCTTGCCTGGGAAGATACCCAAGGGGGATGCTGACAGCTTCCTGTCTTCCTTCCTCAGCAGACTTGCAGCCCGCAGCCCCACAGATGTTCTTTCTGGGTTTATTTTGATAGCCTGTTTTAAAAACAGTTCATATCCACCAACTGTTCCGATAATAATATTCCGAGTGGCAAGCAACTGCGATTATTTTCGGCGTTGTTTGTCCTGACAGGCACAGCTTGGCTGGAAAACATGGGGCCAGGGGGAGTTCCCCTTTCTTACTCTTCCCTCTGGGGCTGGTGTGCACCACAAGGAAGTCTCCTTTTTAGCTTGCTCTCGTATGTGAGTCCCGTGTTTCCTGGGGAGGAGAGAAGGAAAAAGAAAGCCAGATGGAGGACACCAATACCTTTTCCCCATGCTAGACCCCCTTACCACCAACATAAGGAGTTTGGCACGCAGCTCTAAAGTATGGAAATCCCTTCCAGGGCATACCTCCAGGGATCTAAAGGCCTCCTAAAGGCCTTGCTGAGAGTAGAGCTGGTCCCTGATTGTTCCAAGCCATCTAAACCCAAATCACACTTCCTGTACACCCACTGCAGGCTCAGGAGGCTCTCAGCTTCCCCTAGGAAACAAAGATTCCTGCAATTTTCCCAGGCACCCATATTCAGGTTCCTGCTATTTTCCCAGGCACCCATATTCAGGTTTTGCGGGCACCTCTGGTCGTTTCTCATTCTTGTCATCCAATGCCAATCAAACTTAGCCGATATTCTTGTGATTTAAAAAAATAATTATTTATTTTAGAGAGAGAGTGTGTGTGTGTGTCTGTCTGCAGAGGTCAGAAAAGAGCATCAGATCTCTTTGGAGTTACAGGTATTAGTGAACTGCTAGACATGAGTGCTAGGATCTGAACTCCTGTCCTCATGATTGAACAGGAAGTGTCTTAACCACTGAGCCATCCAGCCCTCCTCCTGTGATATCTTAAATCTCTTGTTTCTGTCTCTCCTCCATGCGCACTGCACCACCTCCACCGGCAGGGGGCCCATCACCACGGCAGCCGTAGTTCCTATCAACTCGGCGGCCTTCTGCCTCTCCCTCTCCTTTAATTACACCCTACACTATTGCTATTGGTAGGTCCAGTTTCCTAAGGTTTTACCCATTGTGAAATCTCTACGCAAAAGCCCTTAACAATCACCTTCTGTGTGCAGAGTGGCATCCCAGGGCCTTTGTGGGGCAGGCCAGGACTTTTGCGCTCTGGGCTCAGCCTCTCTTCTTTTCTCGGTCTCATGCTGCCACTCCGAGACACAACTTCTTCCCACTGTTAGGTCCGGCTGACCAGGGCTGTGCTGTCGAGTGGGAGGCTGCGCGGCCACCACTGCACTGTCTATAGAGTACACTTCCTGGAGTTGTATGGGCCCCGCCCATGTAACCCCACCTTTGAACAATGTTTCAATCTGAAGCGGCCTCTTCTCCCTGCTCCACCTCTTGAAATGGCAGAGCTCTCCAGAAGCCACGCCACCCATCAAGCTTCTTATGATAGACCCTGGCTACAGAGGCTAGATCTTGATGGTGATTCTTTGAAGAAGAACAATACTGAAATATTTGCAATTCTCTTTCTGTTGGTTTGCTGAGCTTTCTTGCATAGAACACAAGAGCCTTGGAGGATAGAGCCACAAAATATTTTTTTCTGCATGCCTCTGCTGCCGTTGTTGCTAGCTGGCACATACTATTTTAGTTAGCCTTCCACTGCTATGTAACTCAGCTCTCCCGGAGAAGATCTACTTTGTCATGGCTTGAACACGAACAGTCCTTACGAGCTCCTTCCTCTGTTTGAACACTTGGTCTCCAGCTGGTGGCGCTGTTTTGAGAGGTTGGAACTTACTGGGTGTGTGGCCTCCCGAGTAGAAGCAGGCCACTGGAGGTGGACCTTGGGGTTTTATCGGCTTCTCTGGCTTCATTCTAGAACACTCTGCTGGCTGATCTCCTAACATGTGGACATGCCCCAGCCACACACTCCCACCATGGTGGGGCTGTCCTACCATGCATTCCTCACATGACAGAAGACTGACCCCAAAGTGTCCTTTCTTGCTTCTGTCAGGCATTTGGCCACACCAATGAGACAAGTAATCAAGAAAAACTTACGAAAAGAAAAGGTTTTATTTTGCCTCATCGTTTTGGACATTTCTGTACACCATTGGCTGGTGCCATTGCTTTGAGAAGGGCAGTAAATCATTTCAGGTGAGTGTAGTGGAGCAAACCAGCTTCCTTTATGTCTAGGACACCAAAGAGAGTCCCACAGTCCCTTAGGAGTGCATCACCAATGACCTAAAGACCTCCCATGGGGCTCCGCTTTCAGTTTCCAGAATGCCCTGAGAGCATCAGACTGGGAAGCAAGGCTTTGATGTATGGGTGTCGAGGGGCATACCATTAAAACTCCAGCAGGAAGTGCTCAGTGAACCTTGATGAATGAATGAAAGAACTGATTGGGTTGTCTTGGCTGCACATTTTGCTGATCACCTCTGGTTGTGTCCAACACTCTGCCAATCGTTGTCTAAGACAGGTGGGTGTGGGTGGAGGAAGACCTGGGTCGTGTCACTAGATCAGTTGTGCTCATGTCTGCTTCACGTCCTGAGGGCTGACAGAAGATGTCAGCTACCATAGGACAAAACTCTGTTCTGAGGCCAGCAAGTTGACTCAGCCAGGGAAGGTGGTTACCATTAAGCCTGATCTACAGTCAGTCCTTGGGGCCTATATGGTAGAAGGAGAGAAATGAGTCCTACAGTTGTCTGTATCAGGCTTTCTCTTTTGGGCCATCAACCAGCTCCCAAATCATGACACAGAGACTTCTTATTAGTTATGAATGCTCAGCCTAGCTTAGGCTTCTTCCTTGCTAGCTCTCGTAATTTAATCTGTTTCTCTTCATATATGTTTTACCTCTGGGCTTCTTACCTTTCTTTCTGGCCCCAGGCACATTCCTCTCTTTCTCCCTCATTCTCTTCATTCTTCTCCTTCTCTCTAGAGCCTAGGTTTCTCCTCCTCCTTATTCTTTCTGCCTGCCAGCCCTGCCTGTCCTTCTCATGCCTAGCTATTGGCAGTTCACCTTTTTATTAGCCCAATCAGGTGCCTTAGGCGGGCAAGGTGAAGTAAATGCAACACATCTTTACATAGTTAAACAAATACATCATGAACAAACGTAACACATCTTTACACAGTTAAGTAATATTCCAGTATTCCACGATAGTTGTCCTGTGACCTCTACATTTGCTCTGTGGAACACACACACACACACACACACACACACACACACACACACACACACACTAAATAAATAAATAAATAAATAAATAAATTTTCCCTTTTATTTATAGATGGACTCTCATGTATGGTTCACAGGCATGTACCACTCATGACAGTCCCCCCTCCCCATTTTAAAAATTAAAACAGAAACAAAAATCATGGATATAAATTAGGAAGGTAAAAGTCCCGAACCCTCTAAGAGAAATAAATGATGCAGGATCTTAAGGCACTTTTCACAACCCAGAGCCCTGCTCCACTGTGGGATAGCCCCTTGAGGAAAGAACTGTGCAGGCAGAAGCCACCCCTGGTGGTTCCAGAGCTGTGGGAGAGGTAAGATGACCCAGCAGTGGCCTGCAGTGAGGACCAGGCTGCAGCCCACTCCTGCGGGGAGCTCTCTGTGCTTGTCACCTGCTCTTCGCTTGTTGATCTTCAAGACCCTCTCCGCCTTCTCTTTTGGAGACTCTGACTCAGCTGCCTTTGGAGCCCCATGCTACTGGCAGGGAGGGGCGGTGGGGAGGGCGCTGCACGCACGTTTATTCTGGGTTTGGATATTTAAAGAGCTGGGCAGGCTGTGCGACATTTCGGAAGTGCTTGGGAAGGCTTGGGTTGCAGACTAGGCTTTTCTTTAAACAGCTATAGACATCCTGTCCCTATCTCTCGGTCCACAAAGAGTAATTTTCTTTCCTAACAATCTGATGTGGGTCCAGCCCATTGTGTAGGCCTCTCAGGCTCCCGGCTGTGCAGGCCTGGAGGAAGCAGGTGGCCAGTGGTGGGACACATGCCCAGCTACGACCCAGGCCGGCAGTGGGTCCCCATCCAAGTGCGACCTTGCTCCCTGCAAGAAAAACTTGGCATGGCCTCCCAGGCTGCTGGGCTGTGGGGGCTGACTATCTCCAAGTTCTACAGGGCACCTGGGCCAGGGCTGACCCTGCACCTGGGTTGGGAAGAATGAACTCGCTGGGCCCTCAGGGGTGTTGGCATGGGGATCAGCCAAGGGGTCCCTGGGGACGCTGGGCAGCACAGGCTTCCTCTTTGGGATTTGCTGTTTTCCCTGGCTCAGGAAACTGCACCAAAAGCTGTGACTTTGTTCCCAGCTCCCTGCGTCATTTTTACTATTTGAATGGCCACGTCGGGCTGTTTTCAGGGAGGTGCCCGCTTTGTCGCTTTTCTCAGTCAGGATGTTGTTTGCAATAGATTTCGTCAGACTGTCTGCCTTTGTTTTCCCTCCCCAGTGCACACGCAGGAAGCCTTCAGAACCGTGTGGAAGCAGAGAGCTGGATCGGCTGCCCGAGTGGGCGGGCTTTAATTTTTCTCTTATGACATTTATTGTTCTCATTGCGGTTGTCAGAGGTCATTGCGTCCACGTGCTCATTATGGAACATCTGAAAAATGCAGAAAACGAACACAGGTGATCTGCTCCACTGGCAGGGGAGTTACCATTAGCACATCCGTGCTAATGGGTCCGCTTTAATTTCAATTGGGCACCTTCTGTACACATGTTTAAGGGACATGCCTTTTATATCCAGTCCAGTCCTTACTTCCTTAGGGCTGTTTCATGCCCTTCTATGCTGGAAGCTGAGTCTAAGCCTTTGGAGATCTCTTTTGGCTACCACAGCAGAGCAGTGACTAAGACCAGCCAGTACCAGGGAGCAAAGCAGTCCCATAAAACCCTCAGACCTAAATTTAGCTTTCAATTGCATTTGTATTTACTTGTGAGTAAGTATGTGGAGGTCAGAGGTCAGCTTGCAGGAGTCAGTTCTCTCCTTCTACCGTGTGGGTCCTGGGGATCAGACTCAGGGGGCCAGGCCAGGCACAAGTACCTACTGAGCCATGCCGTGGGTATACATCTGCCCCTAGATCCATGTTTTAAAATAAGCCAAGATGGGTGGGATTTTGTCTTTTTTTCTTTAATGGCTTTCACATTTCTTGGTAGCAAATAAGGAAAACATGCAGACTAGCATAGTTAAAAGTGCAGGCCCAAGCTAAAGGGGTCTGGGTTCATGCTTAGCCATAGCATGTCTCAGTTTCCCCTGCTCTAAAATGTTAACAATACTACCTGATAAAGTCTGGGTAAAGATTAGCTGACCAAGAGACTGCTGTCTGTGGCTTGACATTAATTAACACTCATAAAAACTCTGGATTATGGGCTAGATTGAGTCTCCTCCAACTCTGCCTGCAAGTCATGTGATGTCTTCACCCCAGGACCTCAGAGTGAGACTGTATTGGTCTGTTTCCATTACTATAACAAAATACCTTAGATAATGAACAGATAAACAGGAAAGGTTCATTTTGTTCCTGGTTTGGTGGATCCAGTCCAAGATCAGCCGGATCATGGGTTTGGGCCTCCGGTGGGTGTGCTGAAGGACAATGTTGGGATCTTGCTTATCTCATGGCCAGAAAGTAAAAGAAAAAGAGGCTGGGGTCCCACAGTCCCTTTCAGGGGCACATTACCAATGACCTAAAGACCTTTTACTATGTCTCACTTTTTAAACATCTAGAATCTTCTGCTTGCACCATTCTGGGGCCTACACCTTCCACACTCCAGTCTTTGGGGACATTCAATACTTAACCTACTCACATCTAGTGGCTTTTGACTACTAGAACTAAGACAATTAGCTGGGTCGTGGTGGCACATACCTTTAATCCCAGCACTCAGGAGTCTCTGAGTTTGTAGCCAGCCTGATTTATAAAGTGAATTCCAAACCCTGTCTCAAAAAACCAAACCAACCAACCAACCAGAAATAAATTGCTATTGTTTAAGCAGTTTGTATGGTCCGTGCATCAGTGTCAGAAAACCAATGACACCATCCACTACTAAATGAGCTCTAGAGGTACTTGGCTGTGAATCCTGAACAAACCAACCCAGTTCCTCAGCAAGAGCAAGCATGGCGCATCATTGTTGTGTGCCTCTGAGATCCCCACCCTCAGCTCCTTGGGATCTGAGGAAGAAAGCTGACAGTTCTTGCCCAGCCTTGCAGACTCTCTCCCCTTCCTGGGGAGACTGGTGTCAGTGTGTTGTCCTCTGGCTACACTTTATCCCCAAACTCATGCCTCACCA